CGGGTTAATGTAAGAGTTAACCCGGTGCTTGCCTTTCCCAGCGAGGTGTCTTCCTGTCCCGGAGCGGCGTGGCTCTCCAGCTCTGGACCCTTTCCGTCCCCCTGTTGGGTGCTTACCCACACGGTGTGCGATCATCCCGCCACCCTCTCCGTGCTCTCCACTGCTGCCTTGCCCCGGCGTCCAAACCGGGGCATTTGGGTTCAAACCCATCGGCAGCTGTCTCCAAGTTGGCTTATCGCGATCTACCTCGATCTCGTGACCGCGGTAACTCCCGACCGCCAAACTCAGGATCCTCTCCTAAACGGTGCTAGGGACCGTATATCCGTCGTTGTTGGGTGGTTTTTCGAGGGTTAACTGCACTTGCGGGCCTCGGCCTCCCCCGGGGAGGGGAGGAGGGGGGGAGGCGGAGAGTTGTGGTATAGTGCCGGTTTATTCGGCTGGCACAGACTGAATCACCAAGTCATTCGGTACTCTGGTGTCCGTCGTACTGCCGCTCAATTCTCTGGGCACACGCCGGAAGTAAGCATGGACCCCCAAAGCACATAGATTCGAATGGACTAGGCTAGTGCACACGTCCAAAAACGACTTACAGGAACGTTCATGCCAGCATCTTTGTGGAACTTCCGCTTAGCGCGGGCAACGGCCACGCTCAGGAGGCGGGATCGTTCCTCGACTGTCCTTGTTGCCCATGTTCTGCAACGTAGACGACAGTTCGCACTCCCACAACGCGCTCGCTTGCGGTTGCTGGGACCCATCCATCTGTGGACCTTTGATGGCGTGCCCGCCCATCCCGAATATCTCATCGCTATACGTCAGCGAATTAGCCTTTGAATCAATGCGCTGCCCCGGACTTGTCAAAGCAGGCGGTAGAGGCAGGTCTGGTGCCGCTTCTGTGCGGTCACAAGGACGGGGTCGGAGGGCCAAGATGGCGCGGAAACGGGTCGGGAAGTGGAACGACGAGGACCGGGACTTGGCAGAGCTCGAGATGGCCGGAGTGATCATCCAAGAGCAGCAGGTGGTTGATACGCTGGGCACTGTAGCTCTTCAAATTGAGTCTGGCTTGCCCCCCATGGCCTTCAACCGGCATTGTGACTCGCTTGTCCCAAGAATAGTGTTGACGGCATCCACAACCCGAATCACACCCGGAAACTCAATGCCGGCAGTTAACCGTGCGAAATTATCCTAGACCACTCTGTTTCCGCTTCTCAAGTCCCACGCCGCGTGCCCCGAACGTTCCAGGAGTTCGTGGAAGGCTACGTGCAAGAGCGTAGGCGCTATCTCAGTCGCCGGGTTTCGGCTCAACGGGACGGCCACGGAGGCTTCCAACGCGAGGAAGTGCCAACCGGACGTGGTGGGCGGTGGTCCAAAAAGGCCATGGAAGCAAAAAAAGCGGAGTTCAGCGTGAGTTTTTCGGCGTGGGCTCGATAGACCCGGTGGCGCAAAGCGCCGCTAGTGGGCGGGTTAGAAACGTCACGGATGCAGTGAAGGCGTGCGAAGACGCAGCAAGTTTCGCACGCTTCCGGCGTCGGCTCGATAAACCCGGCAGCGCAATGCACCGCAAGTGGGCGGGCTAGAAACATCACGGATGCAATGAAGGCGAGCGAAGATGCAGCAAGTTTGGTACGCTTGATAGGACGGCTTTCCCTCCCGTCGCGACATTGGGTCTGTCACGTTTACCCCATTGTTTAATGTCGACCCCACCCGATTCCTTGAAGGCTACATAGCCTATCGTAATCTCTATCCACTGGCTTTATCACCAGAAAAACATGAAGCTGCCCCACGCTCAAGAAGCAAGTTGTCTACAATCTGATGTATCTCACCGACAGGCACTGCCGCGTGCTCTCCCCCGGCGCCGAAACCGCTGCAACTTTAACCAAAATTGTTGCAGGAGGCAGTCAACCGTACGAAAGTAGTGCTGAAGCTTCTGGAGGCAAAGGCCGCCTCCTCGAATCTACCCCTGCCCAGCGGCGGCAATGGAGATGCTGCCGGAGGTACGGCCGGCGCCGTGGGCAGGAACCCTAGCGGGAACTCCCCCGGCGCTCGCGGCCACAGGTCACGCCGTCGCCGAGACCCCCACCACTCTCCACCCGAGGCTATCAACGATCGAAGAACAAAAAATAAAGCTTCTGTCAGTGACGACAAGCGCGAAACGTGGGACATGAAAAAGGTTCTACGGACGGCCACAGAGGCGTACAGCGACCGGGTCGGCCAGCAGGGGGGGGGAGCGACAAGGATCAACGCGAACAGAAAGCCCGGGGCCGGCTGTGGGGCAACGGCGGTAGGAACAGGCGGAGAGAGAGCAAGGATGTCTGCCGCCGCGCAAACGGTCCAGGTAGCGTTTCGGCAACGGATGTTCCACCGGTTCGTCTGGGCGCAGGCCTATCTGCGTGGTCCCACGCACGCGTATGAAGTCTTCAAGCGTTGCCTTCCCATGCCACGCGGCGGCGGCGGCGGCGGCGGCGGCGGCGGCGGCGGCGGCGGCGGCGGCGGAAATTTCGCAAGCCCCGCCACGCCGCACCACCCCCCTCCTCTTCAATCTACCGCCCTCGCTGACGTAGCCTCAGCCGCGGTAAACCTCGTCGACGCGTGGCCAGAGCTCCCGGGCTTTTGCCCGTCCTTCCCTCACCACGTCCATTCTGCGGACCCGATCTTTCTCCGATACCTTCGTTCTTGCACTCGTGAGAGCTCTGGTATCTCCTTCTCCAGCGCTACCACGACGGCGGAGGAAGGAGCCGCAACGGGGAGGGCTCCACCAACGGCGTCAGCGTCAACCGGGGCTGGGGTATCTTCTCCTGGTCGTCCTCCGCAGCAGACGCAGCAGCAGCAGCATAACCCGGAGTTTGGTGAGGCTTTCGAGCGAAAATACAATATCCGCACGGCCGCTGTCCACGGCATGTACGTTGACCTTCGGGTGCCGTTCCTCCCCGGCGCCCTCGACGCCGCCTTGGAAGACTTGGAGCAGATCATTGCGCGGGACGGCGCCCCTCCGCTTGAGGGGGGTGGCAAGAATCGTCGTTGCAACGTGGACACCGTTAGCAACGGCGTACGGCTTGCTTCGCCACTCGGTGGTAGCGGTGGTGGTATAGCGGTTGGCAAGGGCAGGGTAACACAGAATCCCCACGGGGGCAGGTTGAGCTTTGCAAAGTGGTATCCGTGGTGGATTCGGCACCTTCCGTTCGATCCTGCTTCTACCGGATGCCTGCTGAAAACAGTGCGTTGCGCTAAAGCGCTTCACGCCTCAGAGATCGCCAATCACAATGCTGCAAGACAGCTCTTGGATAGGGATAAAACCCTTTAGAACTACGGCCTTTCTCTGCATATTGTAGGACAGTGAGTTGTTGATACCACGGGGGAGCTGCAGAAGTACGAAATACTTGGGTCGATAGGGAACTTGTATTCTGGTTCGCGTGAGTCATTCGAGGCAGTCGCGCACGTTGGAGTCTAGAGTAGTGTGGATTTTTCAATATGCTTTCCCCCGCCAACAATGAAAAGCGCATGTGAAAGGCTTGGATTTCTGCAGCGCAAAATAGCGCGCGTTGTGTCGATACGTTGAAGATTATTCGTCACGCGAATATATGTCCCTGCGCATTTGTGGTCATGTAATGGTGGCGTTCAATGTGATAGTAGACCTGATTCGCTCTGGTTTGGAACCGAGCTACAGAGGCGACACACGTGAGAAGCAGCGGCCAGGGACCCTGGATATCCAAATCAGTGCGATGTCACCGAAGTACCCACGATGTTGGCCAAGCTCAAAGGTTGTTACATCGTTGTGCAGTAACTCACCACTACTAGGAGACATCCATTCTTAAAGCAATGTCCTCTCAAAATACCGCACACGAAATACAGGTTAAACGAGCGAGGTGAACGTACGCACGATCATTGTCCTCTGTAGACGAGTGACCAGAAAGTAAAAACGTCTGCTCCACCGTTGTGGGCTAGTCCTTGTTCAACGGAAAACAACAAGCGAAATGTAGAAAAGAATCCAAAAACTGCTTGTCAGATATCACGGAGAACAACTCGCCGTTTAAAGCACAGCAGCGGGGGGGGAAAGGGTTGAACGCGCTATCAACAATGGCCTTGCTGTCAGCTTCCGTTCTCTCTTGCGACAACACAATGCCCAGGCCTCGCCACACACCGAAGGAACCCTGTTTACGACCGGGGTGGTTGTGTGCCCGTTTTGTTGCCATGTCACTTCCTAACGCGTCGCTCATTACCGCTATCCGGGACACTCTTGCCTTGCTTCCCTTAGTGAAGAATTTTGACCCAGGGTTTGGCCGCCACTTGTACCCCCGAAACCACGATAGAGTTGTGACGACCCGTCGCTCTATTTTTCACAACCTAGGAACGGAGTCTACTGCCAAGACTACGTCTCGTCCAACGTAAACCGTACGTCCGTCCCGCCAAGCTTCACCAAAGGTTGGCGCACTTCTAGGTGCGTCCTGCTGGCGTGCTCTCTGCGCCAAATCTCCATGCACGCAGCAATGCTTGGCGGTGCTCCTTAGACAAAAACCTACCCAAATCCTCCACCAAGCTTTGCGGAGCAGAACGAAGACCGGTGTTGTTGCTGCCGCGGTCCGCCGTCTTGGTGCTCGTCCTTTCCTGCTCGTCGCTTGCCCCATGTTTTTCTTCAAGGACCGCGTACCCAGTGCACGAATCAGAGGCGCCCCGTATTTCTTTGTTCACTACTGCTCCTGCAGCTTCGACAGCTTGGTGAGGCTGCTGTTACTGTTCGGGTGGCCGACTCCCGTCTCCTTGGTATTTCTCCAACGAGCAAGTGCGCGGTGTCGGTGCTGCCGTGCGCTGCGTCCCTACCGAATGTCCCCCATGCCCCTCCGACGTCCCAAGTTCCTCCGAGGATGCCCGTAAAACCGGGGTCGAAACGGAACAACAAGAGGCATCCTGGTTGGTTGCAGCAACAGGGTATGCTGCTGCCGCGACATAGTATGGCCCAGCCGATCGGAGGACCTCGGAGGCGCTGTGTAGCGCTCCGAATAGACGACTTTCGCAGGCTTTGGTTTCGTCGGTGTCGGTGGTGGGCCGGCCTCCAGCTACATCATCTTGTTCGTCGTCGTCCCAGTCATCCCAGTCATCCCAGTCGTTGCCCCGCTACCGGTACTATCGCCGTCGTCGATATCACCACCGCCGACATCGGAACCAACATCACCACCACCACCACCGTCAATTTGCTCATTACCAACAACGCCATCAATAACGACATAAACCCCACCACCGCACCGAACACCTTCAACACCGCCTTCACCAACGCACGGCTGGTTCTGGTGCAGGTGCTTCCACACCTCCACCGCCTCACGCTCCGGATGCCATTGCAAGAGGTGCTCAGCGACTAACCGAAGAATTGACGCCACCATTTCGTCACGTTTTCCCACCTCGATGGGCGTAGTGTAGGCCGCACGGTCGCGCAATGGGTCAGAGCCCCCAACGAAACAGTTCTGGGTATCGGCATGCGTCGGGGACCGGGGGGCGCGGAGATCCTGCACCAGGACGAGGAGGAGATTGATCACATCTCGGGCGACAACGCATGTCTGCGGGAAGAGGATTTTCGCGGCCATGCCCATGCTGTCCTGAGAAGTCAGCATACTCCTCGAGGTTTGCACTACAACGCCCGTAACTTGGTCAACGCCCCCTAACTTCCGGCCCTACCGCATCATCGTCGCACATCTCGATGCTCTCCTTCTCCTCTGCTTCTTGCCGTTGTGGCCCCGGTCGTTGCTCCCCGAGTTCTTGCTGCCTCGCGTGTCCCACCAGGCTTTTTCAAAAGAGCAATTGCGCTGTTTTTCAAAGCGATACTCATGGCCGACAAGAGATGAGTGTGGGCCTCCAGGAGACTGACCGAGATCTACCGGACGTTGTGGTCGCTCGCCTTCGCCGTCGAATGTGAAATGGGCATCACGGTGGCAAAACTGGAGACGGTCAGGATTACTTAATAACGTTTCGGCGGGGGTCGAGGTCCGGATGGGCTTATAGTGCTGCAGCACAAGATCGAGTGAGCTCTCCGGTCTACCACCTGTTTCATTGGGAATCGGGCTACTCAGGTTGAAGGGTACGTTTCGACTTCTTATAGTCTTGAACAGGAGAACACAATGCGCTCGATGAAAGGAAGTTACTTGGCTGCACTCAACGTCAAACCCAACGGAAAAATGGCGGCCTGGTGGCAACCCCTGTGCCTACTACTTCAGGGAATCGCATGGTTTGACGCCCGGAGGGCATCCGCGATGTTCAAGGCTATCGACATGACGGGCTAGAGGCGTGGCCCGAATGTGCTCTCGGTCTTCGTACACTATTTAACTAGCTTACATCAAAGCTAAAACACATTTTCGCTACTCCAGATGGGCTATCCGCACCTCTAGCCAGCGAAGGGGGCTCGGTATGATACCAATACACCTCTGCGGCGGGAGGCCACAGACATAGCTGGGGATGGCACGCACAACGCGTGAACTCAGTAGCCGATCCAATCGTGCAGCACGCCTCTGATTGTGCTGGTCCTGCAGCTCGTCTGCACCGAACGTGTCACCGCCGCTGGCCCCGCCCCTTCTCTCTGAGAACGTAGTCGTTGAATGCAGAGGGGATAGCGATCCCCAGCTGAAAGAGATCACGAACGACGTCGTCGTTGCCTCCATCGGTATCGCTGACGATGACGCGTTGCCCTCGCTCCCTGCCACCGTCGGGAAAGCCTCGTGGTGCAGCAACTCCAGCTGCTGTTGAACCAGCCAGAAGGGGGATGGATCGTCTTCATGGCACTGTCCATGCCCGCCCCTAGCCGGGCTAGAGTTCACCCGCCAGTCAGATTCTGTGGTTGCCGTTGAGTAAGATTTTGTTCTTCCAGTTGATGGCGGTAATACCTCGGCGCAGGCCCCATTAGTAAGGATGGATGGCGACGATCGCGACAGCAGTGACGAAAGGGCCGACGGCTGTTCCCCGAAGCCTCTTTCGCCAGAAGTCCGAGAGGTACCATCACCTTCTTCTCGTAACGTTGGAGTTTTGGAGCAATGCGGACGGAAAATAGTGGAAGCGAGAAACGATTCCATCAATACGAGTGCCTCAATTCCTCCAGTCCAGACGTACTGTTGGCGATCATATTGCTGGAGTGCCATTGTCTTTGCGGAGGGGCTGGAGGCTGCAGCGACAGCGTGAGGAGAATTTAGACAATCACCGCCCGACGTGAACGTCTTAGCTGTGACAGCCTCGCAGTCTTGCGTACTCTCGCAGCTTGACTTCTGAACACTCTTCGGCGACATCTCGCCTTCTGCTGAGAAGGTGGCAAGCGCTCGGGCAAGGAGGGGCGAGGCGTCTCGAGCCAAAGATAAGGCGTCCATCACAATCTGCGCTAAGATAGATTCCGACGCTTTTGGACTCCTCCCTCCCGGCTTTTCTTCGGCCGTGGCTGCTTCCGAATCGCCCCCCAACGCGGTGTTTCCAATCGCCACCTCGGCGTCCTCGACAACCTTCCTGTTCTCACTGGTACACAACCTAACCAGAGCCGGCGCAAGTCCACCCAAAGAATCCGCGATGCCGTCGGTGCTGCCTCCCCACCGCTCTCTGGTCACGATCGAGATGCCGTTCGCCACATGATGTTCATCCGCACCATCATCATGCGCACGGTCTGTGCTTAGCTCTGCCAGGTGCCGGGCGTGCCTGATAGCCGCCCTCAGAATCTCGCATGCGACGGATAGGCATGTTCTGCGGTGGAGCAAGGTTAGGTCCTCCCGTGGTAGTGGTTCGAGCGGTGTTTTCCCCTTCATGATAACGCCTGCGGCTGAGGTTGACTCAGTATCGACCTCAGACCCAGCCCTCATTCGATTTATGGTCGGGGAAGAGCGTTCACAGGCCGTGATTCCAATTGAACGGGAACTGTCATCATGAATGCGAAGAGGATGCAAGAGGTAAGAGATGTCCGGACATCATGCAATACGAGAAGCTAAAAACCAACTCGAGAGGCTGATTGTCCCTTAGAAACAAAGATTGGCCTATTGTTACGGGCGCTGTTGTGTTTGTTGTCCTGTCTTCAAATGGGAAACGCTCACAGTAGAACTAGTCCAGGCAGAAGTCAGACAAATTTCAATGCGTGTGGATCGATATGCGTGAAGCACGCGGGGAAATTTGAACCTTGCACGGCCTGAAACTATTTCAAAATGAGTGGTTACCCAAATATCGCCTTCGGGTTCCACCAGAGCAGGGCTCTGGCAATAGAAGGCAGGAGCTGTGATCCGCTCTCCAAAACTCTAGTGAACCGCCATCGCCATCACGGCTGCCGTTGACTTGCTGCCGCCGCTCTTGCTG